CGAAGCAGTAGTCCAAAGTTTGTCTTGTGGGAGCCGTATGTATTTGTGAGGCTTCGAGACCTTTCCGGGTAAAGGTGATTGCTCTTGGGCGACCTCCTGTATCTCCTATAGGCTTGTGGCTGTGAAAGCCAGGATGATTTTTCGTTTTATACTCCCCATCTTCTTGCAATCTCCATGGTTCTTGTACCATGACAACGTGCGCTCCTGCGTCCCACGCCTGTTGCAGCGCTATGTCCATATTAGGTCCGCCTTTTCCCACGTTCACTTGGTGAAATAGAAGGGTGCTATATTTTCGGTTGTGCTTGTGAGAATTTGGTGTATTACTCATTATCAACCATCGTTTCTTCTGGTATATTAATGACCTCGCGTGCCTTACCTTTTTCTTGAGATCTTAATATTGCGGCCTTAAAATCTCGATGTCCTCGCTCTCGAATAATTCGTAGCTCTGCCGGTGATCGTGATGTCACTTGGCCATGGTATCGCCTTGGACGGGCCATGCAGTCCAAGTGTGTTGACTCGTGTGGTCCAGCACAGTTTGAACATTTGGGAATGTCGGCTGTGCATTCTGCTGCTTCATGCGTGCCCGAGCATTTTACGCACCGCTGTTCTTTGACGCAGTTCCTTGTCGAGTGATAACCCCAGCAACGTTGACATTGCTCGATGGGCCGTTTACGAGAGAATGGTATGGCTGGTCCACTCTCGTCGAACAGCCTGAACTTTAGGTTGGCTGGTGCCTGTTTGAAGTGTACAATCCAACTGGTGGAGTACTGACCCAGCTTTATGTCACTTGGGCGCGCCTGTATTGGCGCGACACCACACACTGACTGGCGTTCGGTCTTCACCATTTCGCTGGTGACTCTTATTCTTCCGTCCAATGTCCGGATGTTAACCGGTACATGAGGGACCATGACAGAGGTCCAGTCTGAGGCAGGCTCAATTGTTGTGTCCTCCTTGTGGAGAGAAGCGCCAACACTCAGGATTGTTTCTCTGAGTGCGTCTGATGCACACTCCATTGCTAGGCCAGACCTAACTCGTGTCATTGCTATGATGGCTGAGGGTGCGACCCCAGCTTTTTCAGTTACAATCTTCTTTATTGTGACAGGTGACAACTTCCGCCACTGGTGTCCTTGACCTAATCGGAGGAACAGTCTTTTGTCTTCTTTGGGTGGTTCTTGTTTTTTCGGCTTTGTATGCACAACAGGTCTATGTTTGACCAGATTAACTGGCGGGTCCGGGAGCTTGGCCGCCTTCCGCGCTACAGTGACCCACGGGGAAGCATTTTCGCGTGGCTTTGGAGGGAGTTCGTGGCGGGGTTTCTCGGCTGGTTTTGTCGCCCTAGGCCCAGGAGTTGGTTTTTGGGTGGTTTCGGGTGCTGGTTTCTTGCCTATGTTAATTTTGGCATTGGTGTTGCCTATCGCAAATGCTGTCACGATAGGTGAAATGTTTTCTATAAGTGGCGCAACTAGGGTCGCGCCTTCAGTTCCCACCTTGGATTTTGCCCAAGCGTCAATAGTATGCAGGAAATCTTGAGCTACGCTCAATCGCTGCTTTCGTTCGCGTTCTGATTGCTCCATTGCAGCAGCAATCCCAAGAAGGCTCGGGTGAAGGTGGTCGCCTGGGTCGATCGACGCCGAGGACGACGGCTGGTTAAACGCAGCCATGATGCTGCTTGATTCTGCGCGTAATGCGATGGTTTGGAAGGTTTGATGAACGATGTTATGTGTGATTATATAAATTGAGAAGTTCTATGTAAATTGAAAAGTTGAGGGGGTTTTTTCCATAAAGGTTTCCTCCTACATTAATATTAGAGTTCGTAGACACCTGCATGGGCCTCATGGCGCCAAGTCGGGCTAAATGAAATCAAATTCAAACTACATTTGTATGTCTGATCGCTCCGGCATCAATATTCGAACTGTGACACATGCTACTTGTTCGAAAAAAGCTGCACTAGAAGCAGCTTCAACTTAAGAGTCGCAGCCTCAAGCTACCACCAAAGCAAAATGCCCTCCGAAGCTTTGAATAATTCTCGAGGATTAAGAACGACGCACCGCCGAAACAGCGGCAAATCTGGCACTCTGTTCCGCCGCCATCTCTAGTATCGAAGCAACAATTTTCCCATTGACCAACGGGCCAAACAGACAATTTGTAGACCCCATCAGGGTCTACCTACGCGCTGCTATTGTGGAACAAATGCCTCGGGCAGAACCTGTACGCCACCCGTCTTTACTCCTCACCCGATGAACCCTCCTCCGAGAGCTCACGACGCTAGGAGCACAATGACACACGCCGTCCCAGTGTAGTCTTCAAAAAGCACCTAAGCCAAGATGACACGAATTAGACTACGACAAAAGGCAGTCCTGATAGTGAAAACCGTGCCGTAACCTACAGCTCCAGCCCCGAGGAAAAACGCTCCGAAGGCGAAAGTCGACATACGACTCTTCCTTTGTCTCGGCAACGACCACCATTGGCGGAAATTATCCCCCAGTGGTAATCGAACCTCAGTGTTGGGGAATGCCAACTGTGATATACAAAAAGATAGCTCTATACACTAAGTTAAGACCGGTTTTGCCTTTGCGGTAAAGGACCATAATTTGAGACTGAAGATCCTGGATACCTCTTCGATCTTGACGAATTTCAACGCCAAAGTGAAGGAAGCTTCGGACCTAATCTTCTTGCAGATACCAAAAGTACCTATAAACGTAATATCAACATACGATATTGAACAGATCAGTGCTGGGAATGCAACAGAAGAGATGAGTCGACAAACTGGCAAGCAGTTAGCCCAGGTGCGCCACACTGAAACTGGGTTGCCAATTCTCCTCATGACTCCGCACCTCGTGCTGGCTTCTGTTTCTTGGACGAATGCGGAAATGCTAAAAAACACCAGGCTCGTCGTAAATTTCAGCAGTATTATCGCTACCTCGGCTTCTACGCCATTTATAGTTGCTTCCGCCCTCCGGCCTGCCGGAATCGCGGATCAACAATGCACTCTGAAGCAGAATGTAAAGCCCTCACCAGATGTTAAAACTGTGGGTGACCTCAACGATCTTGTTCTCGGGACTACCTAGCCGGACCCAACAAGTTCGGTCCTGTGGACAAAGGGTAGCTCGAACTGATCCGCCAAGTTGAGCACATGAAGTTTACAGAAGCAGCCCGAATAATAGCTGCAGCCAAAAGGGTAGAGGAGGCGATAACAGCCGCGAACAACGACGTTTCCACTGCGGAGGGATCGAACTTTGGGGGTTTGGAGTCCGAAGAAGAAGCTTGAGGACCCAGCGACCTCAACAATGCCTTTTTTCAGGCGCAACTAAACAGTAGCAAGATACCGGCTGAATTAAGGGTACTTGTTAACCCATCTCTTACCCCCAGCAGAGATTGAGAAAGTTGTCACTCGGAAAATACGACGGGCAAAGGATGTGTGAGAAGCGCATTACTCGGGCTTAACATGGGAGAATCTTCTGTTTTCCGGGTTTGTTTTGATTTTCTTGTTTTCAGTTTTTGTTATAATCTTTTGAAATTTTGAAATTTTGTTAGCGATTCACGCAGTTCAAATGAGTGGGCTGTGGGAAAGAACATACGAATTCCTGCCGGCTCTACTGGCCCTGTATTTTTAGGAGGACGCGGAGCTTTTACTTTAGCTTAGGACTTCGACAAAATAACAACAACATACTCTACCTGTCTTGCCTCCTTTCAAACCTTTCCCGAAGGTCGTACTCAAATGTTAGAAAAGTCCTGACAAAGTTTTTCTACTCTGTATGGTAGCTTAGACAAACTCCTTTTGTGCCGTCTGGGGTACTTGGGAGTACTTTTGACTCATCGACGATAGAAATCCTCCTGACAAATTTGCCGAAACCTTGGTCTTGGCGCCCACAAAAGTTCCAAAGTTGAAAACCCCTCGTAATTGTCAGTTCTAGCTTGGTGTTCGGAGACCCCTTCTCTTTCTTGCTCCACATTTTGGCCGCCTGTTCTCCCTCAACTTATTTGTCACATTAGAGCAACAGTCCCCCATCAGCTAGGACCCAGGCTTTGTATATTTCGGCTTAATTTCCTCCTTACAGGTATAAATAGCGTCGTAAATTTGAAGTTGGAGTAGGTCAATAATTGATAAGGTAAGCTCCTGTTTGCAATGTGAGCAATGCCTTGATCGGTCGTTCAAGCGAGATGACATGTGATTGGAAAGAGGTTGAGGACTCTGAAGAAAATGGTGCGTGCTGCATGATTGAGAAGTCGTCAAATGGAGATATGCTTGTGCTTTCTTTCGACTCTGATTCGGTTGCGATGCTTCTTGACTATCTCAGATATGCAGAGCATACTGAGCGATTGCATCAGCACCACTGGAAGGTGAGTGATCCTTCTTTGCCGGCGTTGGACTTTAATAATTTGGGCCATTTCTCTTGGGAGAAACTCGTGCTCATCGTCTACGATTTCCACTATACCTTCGGTGGGGAATTCAGATGTTACATATTTTTAGATAGGTGCAGGTTACAGAATTGGCGTGTAGGTTAGTACCACGTGATGTTGTGGCGGGCTGGATGGAACGTTGGGAGGCATGAGATGAAAGCTGAAGCCCGCTCCATCGGAGGAGCATAATTTTCTATGAAAAGATCTATTGAAGCCTATATTGGTTATACACACTAACAAGCGGTTGAAGAGTGGCAAGTTGCACGCAGATTGATCAATAATACAAACATCAAATTGGTACCCCTCCTTCATGCTGCCTCGGGCTTTTGCAGGCACTAAGCCCGCCGTAATAGGCTGGTAAGATCACGTGACCCACAACTCCAATTACTGGAAGAGGCCCGCTGATGCCCTGTGCACGTAATTACGACGTCGTATCGCCTACGCACGATTGCACATCTTGGGATTCAAACTATCCTGGCCCTGACACCTGCTTATCGATCTCACTGACGCTGCCACGCTCGTTCCTAGTTAATCTCATATAGCACACCAAATCTATTCGTCCAACATCGAAAACTTCAAGCCAGTGGTAATACGCCACGATGCCCAAGAATAAGGGAAAGGTAAGCGCCTCACCTCTCGCGGGGTCAAGAACAATGATCTCTTTAGTTCGGTCTCTAACCTACGCGTGTGATCCAGGGAGGAAAGAATCGTCGTAGAGGGAAAAATGAGAACGACAAGGAAAAGCGTGAGCTCGATTTCAAGGAGGAAGGCCAAGGTGCGTGGCTTCTGACCCTCACCTTCGCTCCTATGTTCACTGACCCCACGACCAGAATACGCCCAGGTCCTTAAGATGCTCGGAAACGGGCGGCTTGAGGCACTCTGTTTCGACGGCTCGAAGCGCCTGGCACATATTCGCGGAAAGCTCCGGAAGAAAGTCTGGATAAATCAAGGGGATATAATCCTTCTATCGCTCCGCGACTACCAAGATGGAAAGGGTGATGTAATCCTCAAATACTCTGCCGACGAGGCGCGTTCTCTAAAGGCATATGGTGAGCTGCCAGAAAGCGCTAAGATCAACGAAACCGACACCTACGGTCAAGATGGAGGTGAGAATTGCGGCTTCGAGTTTGACGAAGATAGAAGCGGGAGTGAAGATGAGAGCGAAGATGTGAAAACCAAAGATATTGATATTGATGATATCTAAGAACTCCAAATATTCCCGGAATTGGGGGAGTATGAAGTTAACAGGCTGTCTTCTTTTCCCGTCCTAGAATCAGGACCTTCACGGGATCTTCAGCTTATCAAAACCAGCTACCTATTCATGTTTTCAGGTTAACTTTCTGGTCATTCAAAAAGCCTTTATCCTGCCATAACAACCTGATTGGTTAGCAAGGGTCCGTTTTACTGGATACATCACGATTTTAACTGCGACAACATGACTAAAACTTGAACGGCGTCTAGTAATTTGAAATGATGTCAAGACGTCTAATCTTAATTGAAGACTGCAGAGAACAAGGACATACGATCTGTCTAGTAATGAGGAAATTTATTTGCACATGTCAGATTGACTTTTACAAGCTTCAACTAATAGAAATTTGAATTGAGGGAAGAGACCTGTGTAATATCAATGATCCGTGTCATCTCATATTAATTTCTTGAGTGCCGTAGATCCCCACTATTTTATCCATCCTTGAATGTGGTGTAACTGCAACGATGAAAAATAGACCACTACATACGGATTAAAGCTATCAAGTAGTAGCCATCTACCAATCGTCATCATCCGCTTCATCATCTGATATCAGATTAGTATTTGTAGCTTTCAATATTATTTAAGTGTGACTTACCGCTTGCACTAACTTTCTTTTTTCTTTTGTTTAAAGCAGCGGCTAATACGCCTGCCAATCCTGTATCTGACCCTGACTCCGCTAACTTACTGTTATCAATCCCACTTTCCGTAGTCCCCGGAACCATTGCATCGCTTCTGTCTCTTATCTTACTACGATCAACCTTTTTTAAGGCACCGATTCCACCTGCTTTTTGAATACCTGCCAGTAAATCTGTTCGATCAGCACTTGGCTTAGTTAGCGTAGAGGTTCCAGAGGCATAGCCTGAGTCTCGATTAGGTATAGGCTGTATAACTGGAATTGGTGGAGCTGGAGGAGGCGGAGGAGCGGGTGGTATAGAAGCTAAGGTTAAACCAGAGGTTGCTGGTGGTGGAGGAGGCGGAGGCGCGGGTGATGTAGAAGCTAAGGTTAAACCAGAGGTTGCTGGTGGTGGAGGAGGCGGAGGCGCGGGTGGTGTAGAAGCTAAGGTTAAACCAGAGGTTGCTGGTGGTGGAGGAGGAGGAGGCGCGGGTGGTGTAGAAGCTAAGGTTAAACCAGAGGTTGCTGGTGGTGGAGGAGGCGGAGGCGCAGGTGGTGTAGAATATGATGCTACATTTGAAGTTGAATTTAAGGGTGGTTGAGGCGGAGGCAGAGGTGCTGAAAATCCATCTCGCTTTGGAGGTTCCGTTAGATGCAATGATGCTTTAGGTCCACTTGGTTTCGAGATTGATTGCGATGGTGGTGGTGGAGGAGGCGGCGGTGGCTGTGACATGGAGACTAATCCCCCACCTGGCCTTGACATGGCTGGCGGGGGTGGCGGAGGTATAGAAGGCCTCGTTGACTTTAGGATTGGTGGCTGCACAATTGTTTGGGGTGCTGACGCTGGTGTAAGTTGTTGAGGCTGGGTCTTTGAATTATTTTCCCGCCTGGAATTCGGAATAATAGACGTTACACTAGGTGAAGGTGCATTCATAATTTTCGGTGGAAGAGGCGGAGGAATAACTCTTTCAGATGAAAATTGATCCAAAGTTAGGGCATGATTATCGTATGCTTGAGTTTCTATCGGTAACTTTTCATGGCCTTGCGTCATATACACTGTGCGATTTCGAGTTGGAAGTACACCGTTATTTCTCTCGCCTGTGAAAGGAGGAGGCACACCAAATTTTGATGCATGATCTTTTGATTCCCTCTCAACCAGTAAAGTTTTTGGGGGTCGAGGAACAGGAAGCGATGGTGCCTGTTTCCTTAGAGAAGAATTGTTATTCAGACATGTAAATTTCCCAGCATCTGGTAGAGGAGGAGGTGCAGCATACCGAGAATGAGAGACACCGACAGGTGAAAGATCTCTCGGAGGTGTAGGTTCTCGATGTGGTTCAACCTTGGTAGCGGATCTTCTAGCCGGTGGTGGAGCCGGGGGAACTCGACCACGTCTCGATGGTGAATCGTGAACAGGTGGTGGTGGTGGAGGCAACGATCTGCTCTTCTGGCTCTCATCTTTTCTCGGAGTGGAGTTTTCTTGCGTTGCTTGTTGGCTTTTAATGTATTCGGCAATGAAGTCTTGTTGATCACGAATAAGATCATCTGTTATTCCCATCTGCTTCAAGTCTTCGCCCCAGGTTTCCCTCCAATTGGGATCAATAGAATCTAACGCCGCGAATTCCGATCTTGTGACCTTTGTATCCTCAACTGATGTCGGGTTGTTCTGGATTGGTGATTGCGTATGACTCGGAGATTCTGGAGGCGTAGGTTGTACTGAAGGAGCGGGTGTATTTTTATGCCCGCCAAAGAATCCACCAAGTAGGCCGTGTCTGAAGCTACCCCCTAGACTTTGTTGAGTAGCACCCCCAAAAGGATTCGCTTTTGTAGCTTTGCTTGCATTTTTCTCTCTGTCGTTCATTTTCTTCAAAAATGTTTTAGCTTCCTTCTCATCAACAAATGACAGGCCAGCCAGGCATTCTTCGAGCTCAAACGAATGAAAAAAGGTTCTATCTTGGTTGTATGACCACGAGTCGTAGATTTCCTGGTCCCATATCACTCCAAGATTCTGAGGCTATGTTAAAGGTCAGTAATTTATGTCTGGCATATTCGGATGAATGAACGAACAGACGTGTCGACAAGCTTGAGCCAATATGCATTTCCAACAAGATCATTCGCGAGCACCACTGCGCCCTGGAGACCGGTATACGTCCATTTACTTCGGTTTGGATATGCAATGTAGAGCTTAGCAATAGCTACAGCTTGTATCTTATTACTGGCCTTCGGGACTTGTCTCTTGACTGTCTCTTTATCCTCATCAGACAGAACCGATGGCATTTTCAATTGAAACTATAAAGCCGTATGATTCCCGAGTGGATTGTTTGTCTATTTTATCGGGGATTGGTTCGGGGAATCGTAGTCCTTAACGTTTAGAGTTATAATTTCGTAATAATTTGATAACTGGAAAATTAATGGGATTTTGTCATGAATAAAATCATTTTCTGTTGTTCATTACGATGAGACATACACATGTATCATAATCAATCCGTGAGAAGCAATGGTTTGCATTCCAAACACAACCCGTCAGGCCCCAATGGAAGAGGGCTGGGAAATGGGTACATAGACACAAATCCTGCCCGCTAAGCGCCTTACGGCCGAGCCGTGGGAAAAGGCTTGAAACAATAAGGCGCTTGCAATCCCTGTAGTTATAAATAGCAATATTTTGAGTATAAACAGTACATAAATCAAAACTTCAATTTAGTACATAGGGTTAAGTCTCATTAACTATGTGCACAAATTGTACCTACTGATTCAATATTCTCTAAAGCATTTCTTTCAATATATTACCATACTATTTGAATCATCAGGCGCGTTTAAATTTCAAATTTTCCACTTACCAGGCGTATGACGGACATCGCGAATTTTTGCGCTAGCAGTTACCGGGTAGGTGTTAACAGCTGAAATCGTAATACGTAATGTTGGTGCAGGACACATCGATATAAATCCAGCACGATATTAAGTGTCACCAACTTGCGAGTCGAAAGCGCTAAAAGATGAGACAAATAGCATTGAAATTCAGGAATCGGGGAGGAGCAATAAACAGAACGTGGATTGGGTTTTAGAACGTAACGATCGAGCTATTACGGATGTCGATCTTATATGATAAATGTTTAAGAGTAAAGAGGACATGGAGCAGCCCATTTGGCAGTTGGAAGAGCGCAGAAGGGAAAGTATTCCAATTAATTTATCTTTCATGAGCTGAAAGTTTTAAAGTCGGATTGAAAGGAGTGAATAAGCCCGCCCTGGTTTATTATCTTTGCCATACTCGGATTTGTTAAAATTTTGAGGCTGCAATAACTATGCATTTGTATTCCATGATTCACAACCATGTAGGGCGCAGTTAATACACCAGTGACCAGCTCAAGGGTCGATCATGCTACCGTCTGATTTGAAGTCAAATGCCTTGCATTTGGGCCATCTGATCTCCTTCTCTTCGCGTGGTATATAATAGTACAACAGGTTGTTAGTGTCTATTGTCCTATTAGGTCGTTGGTCCTCCACAGTCAGACACAGATAGAACCATAATAGAATCTAATTTAATCTAATCTATTAGGTCTATGATGATGCAAGAACATGCAGGTCCTTTCTGCCTACAGTCCGGGAATATATTTGCCTCGGGTAATGTACTCAATCCTATACCTCCTTCATGACTTCTTTCCAGCAGTAATACCTCCATTAGTGTTCATTCAATTACACACTAAGAGGAGCTCTGGAGGGCAAGACTGAACACCTGTACGCGGTGTCCTCTACGAACCTGGGAGTGAAATATTCTCCCAGAGCCAAGTTCAGTCAAATTTCGCAATATCAAAGAAGTTGGCCCACGAGGCAAAAATCCAAATTACTCATCCACGTCGTTATTTCGCTCCCAACGAGTTTGACTCCTATCTTCGTCTCATTGAGTCTACAAGTACGACCAAGTACATCCTCATTCCAATGACCACACCACTCTTCGACCTTCTCTGGCCTCAGCCGGTCACCAAATACACGCCCACGCCGATATTTATACCCGCCGGAGGATGCAAGGCGTGGCGCACAAATCTGGGAGACAGTTCTTTGGGATGGATGTGAGAGGGATCTGGACAAGTTGGCAAGATGATGCGAAGGACGGATATAACCTCGAAGGGCATGAGATTCCGAATTTTGGCAAAGAGTTTTACGAATTGAGCTTTGTGCGCGCCAATACTTCGCTTGCGGGAGTGCAGCTTACACTATAAACACAAGCCAACGATGGAAGGTGTTGTAGTCTGCCTCCTGATGATGTTCTCTGGTATACTCTGAGTAGCCTGGGCACCTACTCCCCTTGGGAAGGAGACATCTCAGATTACATTTCGCGCGGAGAAAAGTTGATGGATGACGGAGGCATGTCTGGATAACTCAGGGTTTTTGAGACGTTCCCCTGGGTGGGTATTCACGGATGAGGGTTGACTTGGGGTGAAGAAAAAGCCACCATAACTTCGCAGTGGTACTTGCAAATGAAATCTGAGGCATGAGTGCTCTTCCTTAACAATGAATCATCTATTCTGTACTTTTCTTTGATATTGTTTCATAGCTAGATAGCTGCATATGCAATTAAAATCTGATGCAAAAAAAAAAAAAAAAGAGGAGCTCTTATCCCGTCATTATCTCTCTTCTCCAGCCAAAAAAAAACGATGGCCATTTGCGGGTGTGTAGCCGCAGGAAAAAGTCTCAAGAACCAATGGATGTGGGGTCCTCATATGAAGAGGCCGGCCAGCCGAGCGCAGTAGACCTGCGTATACCTAAGAGCGTCTCTCAACTTTCCTAGCCTCCTCCTTACTCCTGACCAGATTCACACCATAGGAGAAGCAGGAAATTGTGGAAGGATGTTGGAAAAGTCATGGTCGAGAGTTACTGTCGTGAAGGAGCCTAATCTAGCTGTTGTAACAAATAGGCTATCTAAGTAAGGGGAGCATGGGAGGATATCAGTGCGGCCTTAGTAAGCGAGGCTACTTCGTCAGCCTTGTAGCATCTCCTAAAGGACAGTAGTTAGACTTAGACAGGTAGAGAGAATATACACACTTACCGGAATACTCAGTACTGTTTACTGTACCCTGTGAAACCTACACTAGCGTCCAAAAGTTGTTACGGATGTGGGGTTGTCAAATGACTCATCAATTTCAGATGCCCTCCTAGTTAGTATATTTGGGATGAAAATTTAGAAAAGAATATATTTTTGACAGGTTGAAATCTAATTAGGAGGTAATGACCCCTCTGCCATTGAGGTCGTAGGGCGCATTCATCCAAGTAACCACCAAAGTTAAATTAGGTACAGAATCTGCTGTCACATGTGTATTAACAACATTGCCTTCTTACAATAATTTAATTGTCCTGTCTCGGTCTATGACTTAATGGGATATGCAGACAGTCTCTACCTACGCGCCTAGGATACCTGTGCCTCCAATATAGCACCCCTCAAATAGTACTACCCCTCATAAGTCCTCATTCGATCACACACTCAGAAGGAACCTTTGCCCTGCATTATCTCCCCCGTCCAGCCAACAAAATGATGGCCATTTGCGGGTATATAGCAGCCGGGAAACTTCGCAAAAGCCACTGGGTTCGGAGCTCTTCTAATACCGACATTGGGACTAAATCCGAAGACATAGTAACCCTTTTAAAGCGTTCAAAGAGGCCGACCAGCTGAGCGCAGCAGACTTGTGTGAGTTTTATTGTGCTACTTGAGTCATAGACTATCTAGCACATTGGGCTGCAGACTTGTGGGTGTTTTATTTTTATTTTTATAATTATTTAAAGTCGTGCTAGCTCACAACACAACCTTAAGGTCTCGTGTTGGCCAGCTCAGTCTACATAAACTACCCGACGATACTTGTGGGTGTCATGAATGCACTTTTCACATTAGTAGTAAATAGTCATTTACGTAGTGTAGCATGCAGAGCCAGGGAAATGGAAACAGGTTAGTGATAAATTAGATACCACCGATCGCTACACTCACCCGTAGATCACTCCTAAAAGAGACTAGCTACGGCGCTATCTGGAAGTATGTAGGATTGGTTAATTATCATGTAGACAACCTGTAACATACTACCTTACCGATAGAAATCTACCTGAAGCAGCATAGACTCCAATACGTTGGCCGCGCGAAAAATCTATCTTTTCAGGAGCTCATACAGTCTGCCTGTAGTAATGTCAAGCTGCCCAAACGAGGGAAAGAAGACATTCGAGCCAATAACAGGAGATTAGATCTGGCAAACTGGGTGGAAATTTGTGGGGAAGACCAGTCACAGAAACGGCAGAAGGAGGCAGGAAAAGTTGCAGCATATCAAGAATTGGTTAAATCCTGGAAAAATCAAAGGCGGCTCCAATTACCTCGACGTAAGGCAATCGCCGACCCCTAAACCTGGAGATATCAAAAGGATAACACAGTGGATCCTAAATCATGATTGGATAGAGCAATTCCAGATGACAAAAGCGGTCTTTTTTTTTTTAAATCATTTAATGTGTATTCAGCTATCTAGCTATGACACATGACCGGTGCTATGTATACATGCGGGATGACTCTTTTGACGTTAGAGACACTCATACTCTGTATTTCACTCGCAAATACCACTATGAGGTATGTTCGCTTACACAAACAGTCGACCCTCCTCCGTAAGTACCCACCAAAGGGAAATTCAAAACCTTTGGTTATCCAAGCATGCCTTCGTCATCCATGAATACCAGCGTCGCGAGAAAAGTGGTTGTGTTTTGCCGTATTCGAACCAGCGAGATACTGTCTCGAGTGAGATATGTGTCCAAGCTATCCTGACTCTACTTGGCAGACCGGCCAAGACGATGTACCAACGCACCATCCAACCATGGCGGTGTTTATAGTGTCCCCTGCACTCTCGCAGCCGAAGACTGGGCAGGCACAAAGCTCAATTTATAAATACTCCTTGCCAAAACTCAAAATTCCACGCCCGTCAAGAATGTATCCATCCTTCGCATCATCTTGTGAACTTGTTCTGAATCCTCCCACGTCCATCGCAAAGAAAAGTCTCCCAGATATGTGTGCCACGCTTCGCTTCTTCCTTCGGACGTAAATATCGGCGTGGGCGTGTATTTGGTGACCGGCTGAGGCCAGAGAAAGTCGACAAGAGGTGTGATCATTAGAATAAAGATGCACTAGGTCGTACTTGTAGACTTGATGAGGATTGGATAGGATTCGAACTCGTTGAGAGTGAAAAGTTGACGTGGCGGAGTATTTTAAATCATTGCCTCGTGGGCCAACTTCTTTGGTGTTGCGAAATTTGACTGAGCTT